ACAAAAAGTACTTATTTTACCAAACACTACCAACTTTTACTTTTTCAGAATCACTTTTTTCTCAAACACTACCAACTTTTACTATTAATCACTTTTCCCAAAATCACTTTAAAAAATCACTTTTTAAAAGTTGAAGCAATCGCAAACACTCCCTAAATTTCATTAAATGGTGGGCCTGTTTTTTTATTTAATGTGTACAACGTGGCATAAGCAGATGTCCAGGAGTATCCCTAAGCGGGAGCAGTTTATGCCCTACGATTCCGTTTTTATATTAATATAGATTTACATCTTTGAATAGTTTTGAATCACTTGTGGTGACGTAACATGGTTACAAATACCTTAAAGATGGCCAGAATATTTGGAAGATGTTAATGTTTGCAAAATATAATGTTATAACTACTTTTCATCACTTCAAATGAAATAAAATACATGAAAGATGTAAACATAATTATGAGATCTTAATTTTATAGTTCATCCTATTTAAGAAAATATCTGAGTCTTGAAAACTATTCTAATCGGGTCTTTTGATTTTTATAAACTAAAAATTTGTTTAGAATTAAATTTGTTGACCGGTTGAGTCTAGCTTTCACGTTATACGTAGGGATGACAATGGGGCGGATCAATGATGATTTTACATATAGAGCCCGTTTGGGGATTCCTTTTTTCGGCTTATCAGGCTTATCAACTAGTTTTTTCACCAAACACGTAACTTTTGATTTCGTGCTTTGAATTTTGTAATAAGCAGAAAAACTAAGGTTAGAGTTACTTTTATGTTTGTATTGGCTGAAGTTACTGTAGAGGGTCATTTTAGCTATTTTCCATTTAATATTTTTTTTATTAATAAAAAATATGTTAATTTTTTTTTCGTGAATCAGCCAATACAGCCACTTCAGCCATAACTTCATAAATTTCAGCAGAATCAGCCAATTTTAGTGTTACCAAACGGGCTCATAATCATACCCGCCCTATTGGGTAATTTGCCCACGCCATAGACCGTAACCGTCTCATTATCCAACAGATAATTTTTACTCAAATCACAACCGCTCCAATGGGTAACGACTATAACTGTAATACCGCCCCCAAGTATTTGTACTTTATCAAATTGTGTATTGAACCCTGAGAAATGAATAAACGCATTTTTACGTGATTGTAAATTTTTGTCATTTCTTTTACTTGAATAGTAAAAATTCATGTGGGGCCCACACCGGAAGTGGGGGGCCGCCCGATATTATCAGGACCACGTATTATATTCGTTTGGGGTCAAGATAATACGTGTATAATAGTGGATATCCTTGTTGGGCCATAAAATGTATATGCGTAACCGTTTGGGCATATAAAACCCATTTATCGGTACCGAAGTACTAACAGATAAAAAGCCATAATAAGTTATGGGAACCACTAAATTCAAAATGGGGAAATATATATTCATTCTGGGGGACAATAATAATTGGAAGAATGATATATATTTTATTTGGTCCAATAAAATGAAACTTAGTTAAAACAGTCCGGAAAATACAACTTTCGGGACCGAATATACACTCGGGGACGCAAGGGATGACCACCCATCTAAGTGGGGGCCATCCCCACAACTTAAGTCTACAAATGACAAGGGGGAGCCGCACAAATAGATAGGAGAGGAGGCACGAATTGATTGGGATCAAAATAATAAAATAAATGGGACCCCTCCCATATTATCATTGTGAGAAATGCCAAAAAGACATTCTCAATCACTCTAGCCCACACAAGCTCGGCCATACTACTTTCCAAGGGGAGAGAAGCTCTGCAAAACTCCATTGTTATCATCCCTATTTGAACCAAAGCCAAGAGGGAAGAAGGAGGGAAAAGAGAAGAGAAAGAAGGAAGAAAACTTGAGGATTATCAAGGTAGCAACTCCATTAATCCCATTCCTTTTCTTTAATCTTCCAACATGATTATGTAATCATATTTCATACCCATAGAACTGTTCTTCACATTAGATGTGAAGAATGAGGGGTTGGAAGGTTGGTTCATATCCAAAACGGATTTAGAGAACAAAGTTGACGGGTTCACCGGAAAATAAGCTTTTAGAGGTTTTTTGTATTGATATGGGTTTTATGATGATAAAACCTTGTTATTAACTTGTATAAGGTATTCCAAGAACTATCACGGAGTTGAAAAGGTCACCGGAATTGTCGCCGGAGTTCGTTGAAGTTCACCGGAGTTTCACCAGGGCTCAATAATTAAGAAAGGCTAGAACTTCATAAGCTTCTTTTAAGGTGAGAAGGCGGCTATATGCTTTATAACTTTTGCGTGAGGCATGAGATTACCTAAATTAATCAAGAATATGTTTTATGAATTGATTAATGGCATTAAAGCATGTATTATGTTATGTTAAGAACCATAACATAGTTGGAAAGCATGAAATGTAGGTTTGATTAGTGAAATTAATATAATTGATATGTATGATGTTCCAAGGGCCAAAACAGGTATTTTTGGATCAAGGACTTCAATTAGTACATGCAGCTGCATGTAAAATTTCACGTTAATCGGACTCCGTTTGGGCGGTCAAACGGGCGTTGACCGCCAAGTCAACTACAATACCCGACCGGGTATTTGCTGAAAAACTGCCCAGAGGGCTGCTGTCTCCTATACTCGATCGAGTATGGATAGGTACTCGATCGAGTATGCATTGAAAATTAGCCTTACGGGCTACTGTCTCCTGTACTCGACCGAGTATTGGTGGGTACTCGATCGAGTATTGGGTTATACTCAAAACGGGTAGTTTTTGAGTAGGTTAACGTGGACCGATCAGGTGGGACCCGTCCACGTTAGTTACTAAGGATTGTTACATGACTATAGGACTAGGTATTGTCCATAGTTAAGTGAATGAAAGGTTAGCCATATCCAAGTTAGGGTTGGTAAGGAATAAGGTTGAGGTTGAGTATCCTCGGGACGGATAACGATCCCAAAACTCGGTGAGGTTGAGTATCCTCGGGACGGTAAACAATCCCAAGAACTCGGTGAGGTGGAGTATCCTCGGGACGGTAAACAATCCCAAGAACTCGGTGAGGTTGAGTATCCTCGGGACGGCAAACAATCCCAAGAACTCGGTGAGGTTGAGTATCCTCACGACGGTAAACAATCCTAAAACTCGGTGGGGTTGAGCATCCCCGGGACAGTAAACACTCCCGAAACTCGGTAGGATATTATGAAAGTAGAATGTAGCTTGTGAGCTAGGCATTCAGAATGAAAGGGGAAAGGTTGGGTAAGTACCTTATCTCTAAAAGACTTTTTGCGAGGAAACGACCTACGGGTCAAGTATTTTACAAGTATATACAGTATGTATTATCTTGGGAATGGGGTAACAATGGTTACACCTATATATTTATGTAGCATCCTATTTTTGGGTCTCGTGTCTGAAACATTAGTTATTCCTCATATAGTCTGCTTGTCACTAGTACTTCTTTCTGTGAAGTACTGACCCCTCCGGGGGCCCTCACTATTTTTCAGGTTAAGGCTAGAGTCCTACTACCTGCACCTTTGCATAGGGTGGACTTCGAATAAGGAAGACTTGGTTCGTGCTTCCATTCTTATTTGACTTATGAAAATGCTCATGGATATTTGAACAATGTTTTCTATTAAACTATTGAAGGGCCTGCGTGCTCATGTTTGCCACGTGTGGCTAATTACTAAACATATTTTACTTCCGCATTTGTTTTGACAATTTTCTCATTTTTTAATACTATGTGTACTTTGTTCATTCAATTAAAAGTATGAGCACTCAATTGACCTTTTGACAATAGTATAAGAACATAATTGACAGTTCTCCCGGTAGACATTTATCAAACAAGATAAATTATTTCATATTAGGTTAAACCAAATTGCACTAGAAATTTGATATTCAATTAAAATATCTAGCAATTAGATTAGATCAAATCAATTCAAATAAAAAAATGCATTACAATTGCACCCCTTTTCTTACGCATTTTTTTTGTGCGTGTGTCTATAAATAGATTATTATTTGTCAATGAATAGCCTGTTCAAGCACAAACATGTTCACAAACATGTATACTATAGAAGTTATTATGTAAAAATACATATGATCTCTGCAAGTATCTGTTCAGAGTCTCACTCACTATCTGTCAACTTGTGATTAAAGTCCAATTTAAATCATCCTAATTAAATGTCTGATCCGTGTTGGGGACACTCAAGAATGAAGTGTCATCCTTTGTTTTGTAGATACAAAAAGTTTTGGTTTAAATATGTTTTTAATCCCTACAATTATAGTACATTTTGTTTTACATCCCTACAAAATTAATTTTTTTTTGTTTTTCATCTCTGTAATTTATGTTGGTTTTCTTTTTAGTCCATCACTGATGATAACAACCTCCGTTTTACCTCAAAATAACCCCGACTAATAGATTCTCTCTAATTTTTTGTTTTTGTTATTAAATAAGTATTTAATTTTGTTTCTGGAAGGTTTTTTAACATAATTTTTAAATGTGAATACTTAGTTTTATATTGTTCTAATTCTCATATTAGCCTAAAAAAATTATATCATGACAAATTTAAATATTTCTTGTAGATTTATGTAATCGACAATAACTTTTTTTATAAATAGAGTAGTTTTGGAATTCAAGACAGACTTAAAACAAAACAAAACATATTACAAATATGAATAATTAGAAAAAATATTTTGCAAAAAACTAAAACAAAGTACGTCATATTTGGACTAAAAAACTTATTTAAGACAAAAGCTTTTTCTTGCCCGGCCTTGCAAAAGAATCTTCCACCTGTAAAACTAAAAACGTCACTATCTGATGCAAGTAAAATAAAGGTAGATTTTATGGTACTCATAAGGTATCATACTTTTGTCCACATGGATCAATGAAAATGTTGTAGTTAAATTATTTAAATCTAAATTAAAAATGATATAGTGATGTGAACCAATCAAGTAAATAACAGGTACGATACCTCATTTTTTAAATAGATAAAGGAGTTGTCACTTAAAATAAAATGAGATAAATTGGTTTGGGAGCGTTGATTCAGATTCATGTGTTTCTCTTTCAAGCAAATTCAATAAGGAATTGAAGAAAGGGACACTCAACCAGATAGCTCACCTCCCTCCAAAACGCTGTCAATCGAAGAGTTTTAGCCCTTGGTTTCTGCCCTGGATAGCCTATACGTAGTCCGAGTCTCGATCTGGGCTTCCGATTTGCCAATTAGGTCATTTCCAGAAATTCGATATGGATCTGGCCCTTCTTGTGCCATCGGAATCTTGAGCTGCGATCTGTTTTCTAATTCATACTGGCTCTATTTTCATTGATTTCAAGGTTGAGGAAGAAGAATCGAGATTCTTTGGTTGTTTTCTGAAAGCAAGAGAGACCGAGTTGCGTATTTGTGCTTTAAAGAGGCGATTCAATGGAGGCAGAGACAGAAGTGAGTATCAAATTCAGACTCACCGATGGCACTGATATTGGACCAATCAATTATAAGTCCAGTAACACTGTTGAATCTCTCAAAACGAAAATAATTGAACTATGGCCCAAAGGTTTAAATCCGCTCCCTACCCTTGCTGATTGTTTCCTGATAATTCAGATTTGGTTTTTACTCCGTATTGGTAACCAACCTTGAATTGCTAAAGCTCTCCTGTATATTTACTTTCAAAATTATATCTTGTGTTCCAGAGTTTTTCTTCAGAATTCATATCATGCCTTATTTCTTTTATAATTCATCAGTAGTGACAAAGTCCCTGTTGCCTGTTGGTATTTGTGGCATTATTCTTCAATCGTTTGCTTTGTATGATTAATTTGGAGCAAGAACTCTTTTTACTTGGTTGGTGGTTAACACGTTAAGAGTTGACTAAATTCACATTCACTCCTAAATGATCTTAGCTTCCTTTCTTCTGTTTCTAATCAATTCCATTGTGATAGTCATGGTGATTAAGAACACCCCTCCACACCCACCCAACCCAAAAATAAGTCCTATCTTGTTAACGCACATTTTTTTTCATTTTAGCAAATTACAACTCTTAAAATCATGAAATCACATTTATATGTTTAGAACTTGATTGTTTAGTTAACTAAATGCATCATATTTAACTTGTTTGTAATATCTTTATGGGAAAATATATGAAGACTAATTGTACTTCACGAAACAAATTAGTCATACCCTTTTTTATACTGAGGAAGTATATCCATGTTTGATCCTCACCTCAACCCAGTTCTGAATACTAAAACCTTTCATAGTTGAATGCATCACAAAGAAATACTCTCCCTAAATCGTAAAAGAACAAGTGATAATTTATTGACTTCCACCCAAGTTTCAAGCGGGTAGTTCTTACACTATCACTAGTCTTTTTGAGAATGTTCTTATTTTTTTATGTTTTCATTTTGTTGCTGGAAAGTGTCTTTCTTAGAAGTTGTTTTGTGAAGTGATGATTAATACTGTGAATTCAACAGAAAAACAAAATGGGCCCAAGTCAATAAAGGATGTGAAGCTCATTGGTAATGGAAAGATACTTGAAAACAGTAAAACAGTTTCTGAATCAACGCCTATTGTCCCAGAAGTTGCAGCAGCTGGCATTACTATGCATCTTCTTGTGACCCCCAAGGCTGACAAAAACAAAGGTAATTCTCAAATTGGATTGGAAGGGCTTAATTGTTTTTCTTGTATGAATGTACCATTTCTCTGCATTATATGGGTTAATTAATATATTGTTTTTTAAATTTATATTCAAGTCTTGGGAATGGGCTATAGTTAAAACGAAAAGGGGTGGCTTGCCGCCTATTATAAACCCATGACCCACGTTGGGTGGGGGTGGGGGGTATTTACCGTACTTTCTAACACTGCAGATTTGTTTGTTTGACATAGATAAACAGAACGAAGATGATACCCCAATAAAGAGCGGCCGGTGTTCATGCTCAATCTTGTAACTCATCTGACTCATAAACACTAATCCAGCCCATATCAAATTCTCACTCAGTCCGTATCTTCTAAAGAATCTCCCTTGTCTTATGGATTGGTTAAAGTTGTTCCTTGTAAATTGAAAATTCCTGGTAGAAGCTAGCAGAAGTTAAGGAAGGCGGTATGGCGGTTTTTGCTTGCTTCACAAGTTTGAAAACCAACTTTTTCTGTTGGTACCCATAATGTGGGAAGGGAAACCCATTGCCGTTGAGAAGATCATGTATTGGCTTTATCTTTTACCAGTTTGTGTTTTGTTTTGTTTGGAATTCATTGTTACCGGACTTGTTGAAACAAAGTGTGGCTATACAATTGATGCTCATGTTTACACTATGATGATCATGTTTCCTTTACCAATTGATGCTACTATACTCTCATATAAGTCATCTTGCTCTGCTTTATGCTACTTTATTACTTACTCATACTCCTTTTTGCCTTTTGATTTTTGAACATTGATTATGACTTATAAGAGTGTCTACTACATGATCTGTTTATCTCACCTTATAATCTACCAATCTCTAAATTACATTATTACAACACTGAGAATAATCTCAAATGCGTTTATACTCTTGTGCTGTTATGCCTCTGGCTCTATTCAAAAGTAAGATTAGTTCTTATAAATGATAGTATCAGGTTAGATAATGAGAGGGAAACATGCCACTTGCATAAGTCATTTTTTGTACAGCAAAAATAATCGTAAAAGCCGTAAGAATCGTTCTCAATATTCAGTCCTGAAGAATCATTTGATACTCCGTAAGTCCGTAGTGTATACAGATATACTAAGTTTGCACGTTTTGTTTTCTACTTATTATTTCAACCAATTTTATCAAGATATTCAACAAACACTTATTATTTCGTTATGTTTGTTGAGATTAAAAAGTCAGCTCATTTGTTATTTCTCGACTTTCTAATCTTGAATTATTTCTAGATAATACGTAGTACTAAAGTCTAAAGAGAGAAATCATCATGTCAGACCGGCCGGCCTGACCGGGAGAGCCGTCTGGCTGAGCCCTTTTGGCGACCTTCCCAGTGGAATTTTTTGAACATGTTCCTCATCAAATCTAGTTTGTTCGTACCAAATTTCAGCTCAAAATTCGATCGGGAAGACATTCAAATCTTTTTTTGAAATTCACTATGTTTTTATATGTATATTTTGACGCAGTCAACTTCAAAAAATGATTTGAATGTCTTCCCAATTGAATTTTTAGCTGAAATTTGGTATGAAGAAACTAGACTTGATGAAAAGCATGCTCAAAAAATTTCATCAAAAAACTCCACCGAAAAGGTGCCCAAGCGGGTTTGGCCGGATGGAGGTTCCCGTCAGGCCGACCAAACAAGAAGAGTTCTCATACTAAAGATTCTATCATTTCGTTTATTTCAACACACTTGAGTCACTTGACCACTTGCTATTATAGATGTATAGGCCTTACCAAATAAACTCTTAATTTGTGACCAGTTCTGAAAAAGCAAGATTGGATGGAAAGCCACATCTGCAAAGACAAAATCCATAAGAGAATTTTGACGCCTGTGTGGCTGTGGCCTGATGCGGACACCAAATGGGAATTGTAAAGTCAAGTACAACAATTACAAAAAATAAAGGAAAATTACATACATTTTATGGTAACAGCATATTATGACAAACAAAAACAAAAAAGAACGCTACATATATCTACATCGCACATGTTAATCCAGCAACAAAAGTTGGGCAATAAAAACTGCTATATACAAAAGCCAAAACTATGCGCTAAAGAAAGGAGCTTTCGAGACTCAAATGCAGGTTTAGTTGGTTTTCTGATGTTGCTAAAGTGAGTCATCTTAATACTGTGTGAAACTACTTTCAGCTGGAATGGAGGAAGAGGATCTGTCTAGTTGATTGAGTTTTCTAGATCCCCGAAGATTCTTGAGTGTCATCTTCAGTTTCTGTTTTTCACCTTCAACCTCGGCAAACTTGAGGCTTAGCTGTGTGTATCTGTCATGCATATCCTTCAGTTCATTCTCCACTGTAGCATGTCTCCCCTTTAATTCCAACATTTCTTTTAGCACCACATTGATGTCTCTAAAACGCTTGAAAATGGCTTCTTCATCACTATTTTGTTTCAAGAATGAACTGGATGATAAATAGAAACGAATGATTACAGAAACACCTTAAAAGCAATACTCCCTCCACCCCCATTTCACTTGCCCTCTTTGAGAGTTATTTATACGAGAAAAAATCAATTTTGACCAGACGCTTCTTTTTTTGAAAAGAAACGGGAGATTGTTTTGGAATGCCCGAAAAGGAAAAAGGGCAAATCAAATTGGATATTATAGTCCTCACAGACTTTATATTATAATGCACAAATTTGGCTTTAACATAAACCAAGTAAATGATTGAAAGTGTTAACAATGTTCTTCATTTTCCTTATATGCCCTTGCACATTTTATGGGGAGTGTGTTTTAGAGTTTCCAAGAGGAACTGTTGTGGGAGAAATTAATAATGTGCATCAATAATAAAAAATACGTATAGCTTATACTCAGAGGATCAACCTAGCATGCTTTGATCAGAGAGAGTATAAGTGATTGACAAAAAGAATGGTTTATAAATACATCTCTGAAAAAAAAAACATCTCTGAAAGACTAAACTAGACATCCAAGGACAAAATCTTATACTGCAACGTATGGTGCTCTACTTGTGAAGGCTACTGCTACTATTTTGTTCTTTTGTGTATAAAAGGGCCAATGGTTCAAATAGGCTTATAGGCCCCTATACCTATTCCTTTTGCTCTATTGAGCCACTGAACTAAAAATATATCCTATTCGCACCCCTCAACTCACTAAAAAGATTCAAATTCCATTTTTTAGGATTACATTTGCAGTTACTCACCACATCACCCAGTTAGGTGTCAACAATGCATTTGGCGTGGAAGCTATAAGGTCAAGTAAGTTCCTAAACCATAAAAAGTGTCAATATTGGGATGCTGAATTTATAGCAATGCTAAATTTTTTATCGCATTTATAGTTGAGAGGGTTCAGGGACTTGTTTGACCCTATTAGCTTCCATGCCAGATGCATGGTTGACACCTTACCAAGTGACGTGACGGGTAACCGAAAGTTTACCCACAAAAAATGGATCTTGAATCTTTTTAGCAAGCTCAGGATGTCAATTGAACTTTTTTTAGTTCAGGGACTGAATTGAGCATTACACATATAGGGCCTACGAAATGAAAGTTGGTTTTGTATTTTAGTCATTATATCCCTGGTCAATAGTCATGTCTTACTATTGTAATTTATCCTAAAGAAAAGAGGCAGAAGAAAACACATTCCCATTTGGATTTGGTATTGTGTAATGAATTGAAAGACAGTATACTACCTGCAGATGATGTTCGGTTTGGTCTTTGCCTTCAAAGCTTCAGCAAGCTCAACCTCTAGTGCAATAACTCCTTCCAATGCCTTTCCACTAGTCGTAATTTCATTGAAAAGTGGAAACATGCTTCCAAGATCTTCATTTGTCTTAAAAAGGAGAAAAAAGGTCAGCCGGCATTATATAGTGGAGTAAATAAAAGTTCAAAAAGGGTTAAAATCAATTTCATAAGCTAGTAAAAAAGAGAGTATATATACCTTTTGTAGTTGTTCGAGTTCTCTCTGAGAAGCTTCGAAATCTGGGTTAAAAATGTGATCCTTCGGAACGAGAAGTTCTCTCTGAGAGTTTTCATTTTTCAATCTTTCCAACTGCAAATAGAAGGCGAGGTTACTTTGTTTTTTCTCAGAGTTCAGTTACAAATAGATTGCATTGAAAAAAACTGGTCTACTTTGTCAATATATACACCAAAATGGTTTCTTGTAATATCCCCAACTAAAGTGCACATGAGTAAAAATACCTCTTCATGTAGGTGGTCCATGCCAGCCCTCAAATTTTGGGTTTCAAAAAGATTGTTATTCAAATCAATATGTGGTGATGGAAGATCTTCAATTGATAGATGTTGAAAACTCAGGTTCTCCTCAAGATACATACCATCCTGACATATATTTGAAAAGGAAAAACTCCTCAAAACCCTAAGACTTACATAACATGAAAGGGAAAGACATAAAGAATTATTAAAGAAACCAGCATCTATACAACTTTGCAAATTAGAAAGACTTATAGGTGTGATGTCTACGTAAAAACAAAATGGTGGGGGTTCAATCTTATACAGCGAGAAGAAGGTTCAAACTGTTGGAAACTTAAGGAGAAAATATGAGGTTATTGCATGACATTTTAAGCTATTAGGCTATTAGCTTGACTAAGATACCTTAGGAACTGTGGACTAATTAACAATCATATGCAAGGATAAGTAGTTATTTAAAAATGAGATAATAATGCAAAAATCGGCACCCAAAGTCCTTGTATCCACGGCCAGTAATCCTTAGGAGCTTGTTTTTCAATACAAATAATGTTTCTTTTTTTGCATTAGAAGTTGGCAAGCAGCTATATAAAGCATGATGTTGGCATACACTTTGGATGTATCTGAGATTTTCTGAACTTCTTTTGTTTACTTATTTGACTCTTGGCTAAAACAATTCTCTAGTTTTTTAGATAAACTAAACAAGTGTGAATCCTTTTGATAAATTCTGCATAGTAGCCACCTAAACCTAGTGTTATCTTCGTTGTGTATGCATGTTGCTAGGTACAAGACCAATAACGGTGGCAATAACAGATACTTAGGAAGTGATTCTAGATCACACCTTGATCATCCAATGCAATTTTTTTAATCTTATACAATCATTGACCTGTTAATTTCAACAAAAACTATACACAGCGGAAAAAGGATTTAGGTAAGAGCCATTTTTTCTGCTGCTTCGATATCTTTCCAGAGTCATGCATCTTTCAAGTATGAGGATGTATTACAACCTCCGTCCCAAAATTAAGGGAAAACTGTCAAATAGGTCCTCGAACTTTCATAAAAAAGTCAATTAAGTCCTTCTATAGGAGACTGTCCGGTCGTCGCGATTTGGGGCGGTTCCCGGTGGAATTTTTTGATGAATTTTTTTGAGCATCTTATTCATCAAGTCTAGTTTACTCATACCAAATTTCAGCTAAACATTTAATCGGGAGCGCATTCAAATTAATTCGAGAACGCAAAAAATGCGTAGTTATCTTCAAGAATTAATTTGAATGTGTTCCCGATTGAATTTTTAGCTGAAATTCGGTATGAGTAAACTAGACTTGGTGAATAAGATGCTCAAAAAATTTCATCAAAAAATTTCACCGGGAACTGCCCCAAGTCGCGACGGCCGGACAGAACCTCCTATAGAAGGACTTAATTGACTTTTTTATGAAAGTTAGAGGACCTATTTGACAGTTTTCCCCAAAATTAAAGTCTCTGTTTGACTTTCACGGTCTTCAATGTACATGTTTGACTATTATTAACATAATTCTCATTACGAATATTAATAATAATTATAATGATTTAATATTTTACGGAAAAAATAGATTGATTCAAACTATTTCATACTACAATACTATCAATTTCTGAAAATTAATGGTCAAACTCCACGAAGCTTGACAAGAAAATTTAGACAGGTACTTTCACTTTGGTATGGATAGAGTATAAAATAGTTAAAATCTCACAAAAAAATTGAGATAAAATGACTACACACTCTAAAAGTACCTGATGTGACGAATTTGGTGCTGAAGGTTTAATTGACTTGTCAGTTGCATGCTTGGCTTCTTTGCTATTACTTTGGCACTTAACATTCTCCATCAGCTGTTTTGCCGCAGACAGTTCTGATTGCAAAGAGGCTTCGACCTTTTCCTTTTCTTCCTTGGAGCATTCTAAGCTTAAAACTGCACATTCCAGTTCTGCCTTTATCCGATCATGAGCTTTAGTAATTTCACGTTTTTCATACAGGACAGACTGTAATTCAGATTCTAAATCCAAAAGCTTGAGAGCTAGTTCCTCATTTCTTTTAGCTTGTATGGCATCAGCTTTCTTCATACATTCATTTTCATCAATTGCATCTTGGAGCTTCAAAAGCATGTCTTCTCCGTGCCTTCTGGAAATAGACAGTTGTTGTTTCAGTTCCTGCACCTTCGTCTCGTATTGTTCTTTGATAAAGGCTATCCGTAAGGATTCTTGTCTAGCAACTGGTTGTCCTCGAGATTCTTTTTGCTCGTCAGCCTTATCCCTTGACTCCTTTAATTGAACAGATAAATTCCTGAATTCTTCAGTCTCCAAACATTGCTGAGAGAGTTTATATGAGAGCTCATTATACTGACATTGTAAATTCTGCTGCTCATCTTTATATTTCTCTAGCAAATTCATACAAGGAAGCAGTTCATCGAATTTGCTTCTCAGAAACGTCACCATTACCCCCAGTTCCTCTGTGGAGACTATCAAGTAACAAATTTCTTCTTCACTGTTTTTCAGTGTGTCTTTAAGATGTTCTACTTCGAGTGTGTGACAATGTTTAGCCTTTGAAAGACAAACTTCTAGATTTGTGATTTCATTCTCGTATTCCTCAACTTTCAACTGTATATTACTGTTACAATCTGAAAGAACCTTATTTCGAGCAAAAGATGCCTCCAGATCAGATCTAACAGTATCAATGGCTTCCAGCAACTTTAACTTTTCTTCATGATGATGAGCCTCACCTGCAAAACTATGATTCAGTTTACTCTGCAGATCATCACATTGTTCCCTAAGATTTCCAAGGCACTCATCGGATAATACAAGTTTCTGAGCAACGCTTCCATATTGGTTTACAGCAAAAGTATATTTAACATCTGAAGCAATTAAAGACTCATGCATGTGTAATTCAAGCCTTCTCATACTCTCGTCCTTCTGCAATAAAAGACAGTGAAGTCGAGATTTCTCCACTTCTAACTCTGATGCCTGCTCTCGGAAATGAACAAGTTCAGTATTTAGCTTCTCCAAGTCAAGTAAGTTGAGATGCTTCACATTTAATTCCGAACTAAGATCTCTCAACCTGCCCTCTAATTCAACGTTGGAACCTTTTTGAGCGTTCAATTCAGCATACAGAGTTTCCAAGTTTTCTTTCAGCTTAATCATATCAATAGACTCCTCAGCCTTGCAATTTAAGGACTCAATGAGATTGTGCTTCTCTTGTATCAGATTAATGTTTTGCTTCTCCATTGCATGTAAGCTCTCAAGCTTCTCATTTAACTGAAAAGCAAGATTTCGAGCAGTAGCCTCAATTTCAGCTTTAGAATCTCTCTCAGAATGCAATTCATCATGAAGTCCTCTCAAATTTTCTTTCAGAGAACTGATTTCAGTTGCAAGGTTGGCAGATTCGGCAATTGCACACTGAAAGGAGACCACAAGATCCTGCTTCTCTTCTATTAGCTTAGAATTAGTTTTCTCCAGATCAAGCAGGCAGTTATTCTTCTCATTCAGTTCAAAAGTAAGTTCTTGCACCCTGCCTTCATTAGAATCTCTATCAGAATGCATTTCATCACTTAGAATCTTCAAGTTTTCTTTCAGACTACTAATATCCTCAGTTTTACTCTGTAGAGACATCACTAGGTCTTGGTTATCTTGTAATAGCCGACAAATTGTTGAGCTGCTTCTCTCAATTTCATCAGCAATATAATCCAAGTCCAATTTCTCTTGAACGAAATAAGCAGTTCTTTGCAGTTCAATCTCGAAGAGGGAGAGATCTGCCAAGAGCTCTTGTTCCTGCAGTGCATGCTTTTTCTCTATTTCAGAGGTTAAGCGGAGTTTATTTTCTACGTATTCAAGTTCAAATTGAAGCTTCTCCACAAGGGCATTAGACGTGCTTAATTTAACTGACATGTCCTGTGTATTATTTTTAAGATTTTGCTTCAATGCAATAATTTCTGAAATTAGGGATAATTCAGAATCATGTTTTTCAATCTCCAGACGCTTCTTCTCTTCCATGAGTTGAATAATCTGAGCACATGATTTGTGTTGGATCTCATCAACTTGGACTAAGAGGCCTTTGAAGTTATTCAGGTCCAAGTCGAGATGAGGGGGGTTTACCAAAAGAGGAGCACTCAATTGCTGATCATAGGATGCCAACAAGTTAACCAACTCATGCTGCACAAAACTGGCATTTTTCTGAAGGGTTTTCTCTGAAGAAGCCAACTTGTCACGTTCCAACTCAACAATTTTCAAGTCCTCCTTCAGAACAGAAATTTCAGTATGAAGCCTATCAATTTCTAGGTTTCTATGTTCTAGTAAACTTGACAATTCTGCTTTCTGTTCCAAACAAGACTCATATTTACTCAGGAAATTTTGGAATTTCGTTGAAATTATCTCTCCATCCATGAGCTTCTCTGTTAGAAGAGAGTTCTCTTTAGAAATCATTTCCAGTTGATCAGCTAAATTTTGGTTCTGGCGAACAAGTTCATTACATTTGTGCATGCACCTATCTTTATCCCCATTTACAATGACAATATCTTCTAGAAGAACTTGCAATTTTGTAGCTAACTGATCATTGCATTCATTTGAAAACTCCAACTGCCGTGCAAGCTCACCCACATATTTCTTCATTAATGCATAATTGTGATATGCTTCAAGCAGAGTTTCAACTACAGCCTTGGAGTATACATCCAAGTAGAAATTAACAGAATGCATTTCATTAAGGTCTTCTTCAACCTTCATATAAAGCTTTTCCTGTAAGAAGAGTGACTTCTTCAAGTCCTCCAAAAGGACATCTCGGCAGACTGCTTGTTTCCTTGACCATAAATTTTGATTGCAGAACTGCAATTGCTTGGTGGTATCATATTGTTCTGAATTTTGGAAGCCATTTACATACTCAAAGTTATCTGCCACTGAAGGTTCTAGAAATGCTTGTTTTATGAGGTTTTCATTAGTCTGAAACATAGAGACAACCTGTGATGAAAGAAGTTCAAGATCCTTTTGTAGCTTTTCCACAGCAATTGAATAGTTCATGCGGGCCCTCCTAAGAGCTGCTTCTGATGAGGTGGCTCTTTCCTCAAGCTCTTTGTTAATGGCGTCTAAATTGCGATTCTCATCAACAAGTTGTGCAATCTTAAGGTTCATATCTTGGCGTAAGGACTCAATTTCAGCTTCATTGATAGAATTTGTATAAATGCAAGTTGAGTGCTCATTTCTAAGACTCTGCAGCTCAGTCAGCATTCGCTTCTGATTCTCCTCAAGTTCTTGAACTAGTGCTTCATAGTAGCATTCCATCTGATCCATTTTCTTGACAAGAGTTTCCCTTTCAAACTTTGCCTCGTCCAGTTCTCTTATAAGATCAAAATTAGGTCCTTGAGCAACAACAAGCGGAGGTATGCTAAAATGATGAAGTATATCTTCAGGTGGACATAAATCCAAATCCAACCCAAGTCCTGTCAAAGAGTGTTGAGTTTTCTGTAAACAGGTGTCTCTTATCTCTTTTGCATCCATAACTAATGGTGGTGCAATGTTAGGCAAGCATGCTTCATCCTTTGACCCTTGTTTCATGTTGTTCAAAATCTGAAGTACTACCTCAAATTCTGACTTGAGGAACCCGTGTTCTCCTTCATGGAGGCCATGAAAAGTCTTTTTCTTGAGGTCCCTTATCCTTTCTTCCAGGATTGAAATTCCTATGGACCATTTATCTTGAATTTCTTGAACTAAGCGAACATCCTGTTTTTCTGTACATTGAGGGCTTATCTTTAAATTATGTAGTCTTTCAATATCATCTTTGATCTTCAAACGTTCTAGTTTCAGGGAAGAGACCTCCTTTGCCAATTCTTCACCAGAGGATATCTCAGCAGCAAGCAGGCTAGAAAACTTATCAGTTTCCATTCCTAGTTCATCAACTTGACCTTGCAGAGAGCTTACTTCGAGTTTAAGCTCAAAAACTGAAGTTTCTGCCAATTCTAAACTTGCTCTGGTTCGACTATTCTCATCAGAGCAATCTGAAACCCATCCATGAATTGAATCACTACTCCCGTGGGCCGCAGCTTGATTTTCAAAAGGATTTGTTAGTCTTGGTTGTGGGCTTTGACAACGGGGAGTTTCATGCGAGTCGCCAAAAGCTGAAGTCTTCAGGCTACCAATTTCCTGTGTACTAGAGTAATCGTTCTTTTCGGCATAAAAACTTTCAGATGTGTTGGATGAGCCATCAAATCCAATAGTCAAATCTCCATGTTCTTCTACTTCTTCAACTGATAAGATCCCTTTGGCATCCGGTCTAAATCTTGACCTTCTATTGGCCTGCAACACCGCAAAGGGAATCAAAAGGGCTGTTGTTAAGTCAGGTAAATGCATTATGAACTTCGAAAGGAAAAGAACAATTGAGGACAATAATTACAACCTTTTCCGTTTCGTCACGAGCATCATCTCTAGAGACTGAAACTTTTCCAGTGCCCATATCATCAGGCTTATTATCAATTCCAGATTGCAATCCACGCTCCCTTAGTTCCCTTTGCTGCTCAAATTCTCTGAAGTAAAACATACACTACTTTAAGTTGTTATGAAGAGTAATCATCTTTATTTACAGTTAAGGATGCCACACCTGAATCCTGTTTTGGATGTTAGCAAATGTACAGTGACCTGAAAAAGAAACACTTGTTAAGTACAAATAACAAGCACAGACAATAAAATGCTGCTGTAGCATCACAAACTATGAGTTTCCTAAAAGTTAATGGTATTCAAATATTAAATTTAAAGTAGTCTTTTTAGCCTGTTAAGGCCATAACGTAGAAAAGCGAAGTGGTTCAAGCAGTACGTGGCATAAGCAAGTGAAATGGAAAAGACCAAAAACTTCAGTTAACGGAATAACATCTAGCTTTCTACAGTAACATATGAATGCAATAGTCGTGATTATCCAGGTAAGGAAAAGATTACAATCCAACTGAAACTTTAGATAGAAAAAAGGATAAGTTTGTACATCATTATATGGTACATAGGACAAGAAATATTCTAGAAAATCACGATTACTTACATGTAAAATAGCTCCTGTATCACATCCATGAAGAGGTAATGCAACTATGGAAGGCTTTGAAGCATCAACATGTTCAGCAAGGTTGAGCGAAGCCTCACCGAGAATGCTGGCTCGTGAAGAACCCTAAGATCAGATAAATTAATTCAGACACAGCTAAACTCTGGAAGAAATTAAAATTGTGATATTCAATGAAGATAATTTCTACCTAATTTGTTCTATTGTCCAAAGAAACTCAAGCTTTTTCAAATTTTTAACAGTTTATAAGATTGATAATCGGACATAAATGGTTTGACCAAAGATCACGCACGTCATCAAGATGAGCAACTACTTATATACATAAATAGGCAGCATAAATTCAGAAGAAAATTTCACCATGGCAACAACTAGTTTGTACAGTTTCTCATCGTATTCTTTGGTTTTAACGTCTTGGAGAAGCCTCGTAGTTTCATAAATAGGGTCTGCCCATTTGCATGTTCCATTTCTCACATTTGCTTTCGTTGTTTTTGCGGTTGTCTTGCCGGAATCTGCCGGGATAAATGATACAAATAACTTGTCCCATCCAGTTTGTGGAATCTGTACATTGAAAATATGACTTTGTTAACTCAATGCACCCCACCACAGAAAAGACCACCCTCTTCATAAATTATCTCTGTCACAGGATTCGTGGTTTCACTGATAACTACACCAGACGAGCTCGGACGCCACAAGATTAGTTAACTTAGACTGTTTAACTTGCACAAAGCAGCTACGCCGCCTACCCACCTCTAGCGTGAACCGTGTTAAAAACAGAGAGAACAGAAATAGGACATAAAAGTCGAAATGTGATATTAGTAATATGAGTCGAAGATTATAAGAAATTTCACATATTAAATAGCAAGCGTACATGTGTTGCATGAAACTGAAGCCGGAACACCACTTTAACTTTATTCTTCTCAAGCTTCCACTTGGTGTTCCTTGACATTATTGTGGTTCTAGGCTTCCAGCAGGAAATAACAGTACTGCGGAGTTGAGCGGAGCTTATTCAGACCAGAGCGAGATGAACAGAAACAGAGTGTGGTGTGGAGGTAAGTCGGCAGAGGTGAATCCAGTGACGATGGAGCTTGATACGGAGAGTTGGTCGGTTTTAGGGTGCCATTTTTTGTGATTGCCGGAAGAAGGGCGGACAGGAACCGACGGGAGCGGCGAGAGGGAAGCTCCACAGTCAACAACAGATGCTGTTGTCAGATGCTCAGATCTAGGATGCGAACGGGTCGGGTACTGGTCATTTACCAAACCCGAAACCAAACCTCTCTCTTTCACTACTTGGTTCAAGGCGGGCACGTCGGGTGACCATGGTTTTCGATTAACGGATTTTTGGTCTCAAAAGAAGTTCATGGTTTGACAAAATTATCTATATAGGAGCAAACTGTTACTGATTTGCTTAAATAGGAGTACTTCCGTAGGCTATGTTTAATAGGAGTGTTTTAAGGTTGGCTTGACAAAAATACCCCTGCCAAATAAGTCGCCTCCATTCCCGCACGCGCGCACAACATTTCTCGAAAAGGTATCCAAAGCTAACCGCCAATTAAATTCTACAGACTTGGCCACCGGATTAAGTTTTCATAGCAACGAGCGAAAAATTCAAAAAAGAAAAACGAAGAAGAGAGAATGATGGACAAACCGTAGAAGTGTAGAATAGCGAAGAAGGAAGAAAGTAGAAGAACGAAGAAGGAAGAAATTGGAAGAGCGACGGAGGAACTGAAGTAGCAACGAAGATGGAAGATGATGACTTCCAGGCTCCAAAACCTAGTGCGTTAACAGTACACATCAATGACGAAATGGTAATTTGTTTTTACGATTCATAAACTCTTACTTCTTCCAAACGAGTGAAATTTAAGAATGAGTAACAGTATATGTCACATTTGGAATTGCATGGCAGATAAATGAAGAAGAAACTTCGATAAAAATTAATGTTCTGTAAATGGCAAACACTAATGTACATGTACGAACACTTCAATAAGAGAACTATAGAATAACGACTAAAATTTCTGCCAAGTGATTGACAAATAGTACATATCATATATAGATTATGTGAATTTTGGAATGAAATTGGTGGTGGAATAAAATTGTGTACGTGTTAATGTAAAATGGAGTAAATGGGACCAAGTTGAGTCATTATGTGGAAGATTTGTGAATGAACTTTGAGATAATAATGCTATGGTGTAGAGAATAATGTTCAATAATGTATTGTGAAAATAGTGATATGTGGTTGAGATGGGATATTCTATTGTGAATTAGTGTAATAGGTCATTATAAGTGGTTAATAAACACTTACTTCTGCCAACCGAATGGAAAAATGTGAATGAGTAACATGATTTGGAATAATGATTTACATTTCTGCCAAATGATTGACAAATAGTACATGAGACTCATAGTACATATCATAGATTGTGTGAATTTTGGAATCAAATTGGTGATGGAAGAAAATTGTGTACGTGTTAATGTAAAATGGAGTAAATGGGACAATGTTAAATCATTATGTGGAAGATTTGTGAAAATAGTTATATGTCGTTGAGATAGGATATTGTGAATTGGTGTAATAGGTCATTGTAAGTGGTTAATAAACACTTACTTCTGCCAAACAAATGGAAATATGTGAATGAGTAAATCATTCACACAAATGATTGACAAATAGTACATATCATAGATTGTGTGAATTTTGGAATCAAATTGGTCGTGGAAGAAAGTTGTGAACGTGTTAATGTTAAATGGAGTAAATGGGACGAAGTTGAGTCATTATGTGGAAGATTTGTGAACGAATTTTAAGATAATAATGTTATGGTGTAGAGAATAATGTATTGTGAAAATAGTTATATGTGGTTGAGATAATGGTCTGTAAGTAGTTCAGATCTTTTAAAATATATGATGGATATTGTGAATTGGTTTAACAGGTCATTGAAAGAGCATTTAAGAAGAACGCACTGAATAACTTGGATTGCATGAGGATTAATTGCTATTGCAACTTAAGCAAGGTCATTGAGAGGATAAAGAATAAACTGAAGGAGGAGGAATTGCAGGTTTTTAGCAACACAATTTTTGGATGGGTACTGAAGATAGAAGAAATGAAAACAATTAGTGGGCAGTTGCAGCTTGGATTGCTATGCAACTACGTGAAAACAGTGAACAAAGTGAAGGAGAACGATCTCATTCGATTTCATATTCAAAACAGCGTCATAAGCTTTTGTAAGAAAGACCTATGTTTGTTGTTAGGGTTGAAATTTGGTGGAGAAAAGCCTCAGGTTCAGGAGCAGCTAAGCGGCCATATTTGGAAGACATATTTTGGAAGTGCAGAAAGTGTAAGAAGAACAGATGTAATTGATGCTTTGCAGAAGTATGACAGTAATGACCCGGAAGCGCAGAGAGAAGATGGTGTTAAACTTGCACTTCTGCAAGTATTGTCACATGGATTATTTGCAAATCAGGTGGCACGGGAGTTACCAACGGTGTATGTGAACTTGGTGGAAGATTTGGATGCGTTTAATGATTATCCATGGGGTGATGATGTGTGGAAGGATTTAGTAGAAAACATGCCAACAAATGTGAACAGGTTGAAGAAGTGCAAAGGGAAACGAGCAACACTCACAGGATGTTTAAGTGCTCTTCAATTTTGGGTATTTGAAACTTTCCCTGGTCTACAAAAAGCTGAAATTTGCAATATCAAGGAAGGTGAAGAAAGAGGAATTCCAAGGGCTGTGAAGTGGTCATTTACCAAAAAACCTTCATTGGTTGCATTCAGTGAGATTATCTTCTCCAATGAGAATGTAAGTTGTTTCATTTTTTGTATTACAGATATGGTATGCGAAGATAAATATATAACTTCTTAATATGCCATGTTTTGTTGCAGTTTGAATGGTCAAAGATGGTAGCTACTGATGAGGAACTTAACAAATTTCCTATGTTAGGGAACAATAGAAGGTTAAGATCGAGGAATGGACAAAGCAATACTAGTAAAGAAGATAGGGTGGATGGAGAGAGAGTGATTGCAACAAAGAATACAACAGATGACAGTGAGGAAGAAGAGAACGAAGAAAAAGATGAGATGGATGATGATGACATAGGGACGGTTGGATTTGGAGAGCAGCGGAAGATTGAAGTCATATTGAGGCAGGTAAGGAAGATTAGCAAGGAAAATGCGAAAATAATGGAAGCAAATGCCAAGTTGGTGGCAGAAGTGACAGCAATGAAAAAGGAACAGAAAAGCCAACACTTAAAACTAGGGAAAATACTCTCACACCTGAAGAAGTTGACACAACATCAGGAGACAAAAGGTGAAGCTATAGAGGATGAAGTGGAGAAGAAAGAAGAGAAGAGTGCAGAAGGAGGCAATGTGGGTACTGGAAAGCAGGATGCAGAATTAGGTGCACCAAATTTCAACATATTTGGGCCAGAGACTCAAGAGAAAATGCGTGATGATAGAGTGGAGGATTCGAGGGATGAGTATGAAAAACAAAATGAAGAAAGAATGGAAGATGCTAATGCAGATGAAGAAGCTAGCAAGGAAAGAGTAGGGTCAGAGGGTGAAAGAGAAAATGAGGCAGGTAGTGAAGAAAGAGTAAGGGCAGAGGAAGAAAAGTGTATTGGGAAAGAAAAAGGAGAGCAAACAGACATCTGGGATGATGTGAACACTCAGTTTATGAATGAATTGATCGCAAATGTTGACAATGTGGAAAAACAAGTGTTAGGGAGTGATGCAAGTAGAGGAACCAGCACAATACCACCAATCAACACTGAGGTAATGTGAATAACTACTTCAAATATCTTTATGTGATAAAGAATGCATATGAAAAAAATAAGCATGAATGTTTTCAAATGCAGGAAGGGCAGAAAATGGGGTGCAAAAGACAACCAGTTCAGGTGAGAGATGACAAATAAGAAGAGATTAACTAATTCAAATATCAGTATTCATTTTTTTATGTAAGGTTTGTAGTAATTGTGATTAACTACTTTGAATATATATTTTTTTAATCTTGAAAGGGACATGAAAATATAGTGGAGCGTGGAAGACCAAAGCGAAATGCACAATCACCTAATCGGTACACATCAGCTGAAGATAGTGCTACACGAAAGAGAAGAAAACAAATTGCCAAAAGAAGAGAAGAAATGAGCTATTTTCTGCCAAAAAATTATGGTCCTTTTGCAGAGGATCCCACAGAGCCACCACCAAATGAAGAAGTTGAGAAGGTGCGGGTATTTCTGAAAACTGGATTGCTGAAGCGGTTGAAGAAAAATGGAAGATTCTATACAATGGGAGAAGACAACATGAGCAGTGAGCCGATGTTATTTGACACTATGAAAATAGAGTCTAAGACATGGCTATACAAGCTGTTTATGAACACAGAATGGCTAGATACGACGGTGCGTTTGAACTTCAATTTGATGTATGTTTATATAATGAAATCAAAATTGTTTGTAGTGGTTGATAACTTATACAATGATTCTTTGCAGCATATTGAAATTGGGATGTTCTACTTGGCTATTAAACAATTTCAATTCAAGCTCCAATTCCCCTACGCTACATGCAGCCCTTATTTCTTGGAAGTCTTGAAGCGGGAACATGAAAAAATACTGATTTCACAGTCCACGGCTGAAAAGGCAGCAGAAGTTTCAGTTATAGAGAACCATATCTTGGGAACTTCCTGGAAGTATACCCTTAGCTGGGCAGAATCTGACTATGTATTTATGCCTCTCAACACGGGAAATCACTGGGTCTTACTAGTCTTGGAGGTGAAAGAAAGAAAGATTCGGGTTTATAATTCGCTAAGCAGAAGAGGGGAATCTACAAGGGAGATTAGACAATATATTCCAAGTGTGCAGTGCCTGCTCCCGAAGATCATGGATATCCATAAAGTGTATGGAGATATTGGAGAAGAGACCATGGGAGATAGGAAACTAGAGGTGGAAGGTGTTCCAGAGTGTCCACAGCAAAATGATGGGTAAAACATATTTTTAATTACACATTTAAATAGAATAAAAAAAATTCCATACTTAATAGGTGTTATATGGTGTTTATTTGTGGCAGGGGAAATTGTGGTATGTATGTGTTAAAGATTGCAGAATTCTTGATAATGGGCATGGACATTAATGAGATAGATGGAGATGACATGACGATGTATAGAGAGAAAATGACCACCGAGCTCATCCTGTATAGCAAAAAGAGGACCAAGGAAATGAAGAAAAAACAACAAGTGAAGACAGAGAGAAAGTGATGCCATTTAATGTCTGTTTTTCTAGATAATGAATATGTAGCTAAGACTTCTGGTTTTTGAAAGCTTTCGGTTAAACAATGAGTTCTTGTGAACGCATTTTGTGTGTTGTTATGTTTTGGTTGACTTTAAATATGTGTGACTAAGGAAACTTGGAATGTGAGATTTTATTACACGTATATGATACTTGAATGTTATTATGGTCGTATTATAGTAATATGGGCAGATGTGATATGGAAGGAGAAGCAAAAGGTTGATTTTTACACAACTTGTTGGCAAAAGTATGCATGTTGTATTATTGTGGGGCATAATGGAATAAATTACCAAAATCATGGAATAAGAAAGAGAAATGTTGACAGAAGTATGTAGGTTAAGGGATGGAATTAAATTTGGGTGATATGATAGCAATTAGTCTTTATGAGTAAAAACGTATTTCTCTTTATGAGTTGGAATAAAGAAGAGAAAATTATATGAAAAGGCTATGAGTCCATGTTTAAAGTTTGTTAATGCCAAACTTGGCTTTAATTAATTTTATTTAGGAGATTATAAAATGGCAGACCAATTTTGAATTTTATGTTTGATTTCAAAAAGTTGATGTTTACAAAATTGTTGGCAGAAGTATGCATGTTGTATTATACGTTTTATTTTTGTGGGGCATGATGGAATAAATTGCCAAAAACATGGAATAACAAATAGAAATGTTGGCAGAAGTATGCAGGTTAAGGGATGAAATTAAATTGGGATGACATTATAGCAATTAGTTTATATGAAAAGGATATGAGTCCATGTTTAAAGTTCGTTAATGCCAAACTTGGAATAAATTAGTTTTGTTTAGGAGAGAATATAACACGGCAGTCCATTTTAAAATTTTAAATGCATTTTAGTCTTTTTAGGAGATTTTCCACTATATGTGTGAAAAGAACCCATGAATCCAGATAAATTAACCTGTACTATGTAATCAAAAAGTTGAATTGGAATAATTAAATAAAAGAAACCAAAATCACTATGGCACAAAAGATAAAAGAGATAACAAGCAATGGGAAAACTAGCATAACAATAAAAGGACATTTTCCAGATAGGGTATGTGTCAGTAAATGCTTTAGAGACAACAAGTTCAGTTTTATTATATGATCCAAAAGTGGAATACGAACAACTACATATAAAATCATTCCAAATGACATGTTGCTGGAATAGGATTGCGACAAGTCTTCTTATTATGACCAAGTATGTTGCACCGAGAACATTTTTGTCGTTTCCTCCCACGATGCTCACCAATAGAAGGTATTCTTGACTTCTTGGGACGACCAGGTGGTCTTTTCAAACAGGCTGGAGGCTTACATCGAATACTGGATACATTAGAAGGCACCAACCAAGATTCTCTATCACAAATAGGGTGCATAACACCACTCCATGTAGAAAGCCAATAATCTCGTGTGTAATATGGGGAAATATAATCATAACACGATTCACGAGGGCGGAGACCGATAGCAGAAACCGCATGAACGCAAACAAAATGATTGAGTTGAAACTCTCCACACGTGCATGTTCGAGTTTGAAGATCCACTACAAAGGAGCGACAATGCCTATCAACAACTTCAAACTCAAAATATGATGTGGGCTTCACCTGAAATATGATTATTGAGTGTAAATAAAATGCAAATGGGAATTGAATTTGTAATCAAAGGAATGCTGGAAGGTATGCAATTGAGATACCAAATACGTGGCATAAATGCCAACTATTTGGAAGTTTCAGTTGGTAATACACGTATGGAGCATGCACTGCAATACATGTTCAGATGACAAATATCAAATGACTGACCTTCAACTTAGCAGATTGGCTTTGAAGATCAACCAGATGCTTCTCCCGGTTGTTTGTCAAAATAGTTTGAGTGTTTTCAGCGATTTCCTTTCTTTCAACAAACCACTTTTGCATCCTTTCCCTAATAAAGTCAATAACCTTGGCAATACAATACTCCCTGGCAGAAGCATTGACGTTGTTCATTGATTCGGCGCAATTTGAAGTCATCACATCATAACGGCTTGGACCAGACATACACTTTGCCCATTTGTGAGTACCAATTTTTTCAAGCCAAGGACGTATACGAACATCTTGAGAATCCAACAAAGCCATATATTCCTCAAATTCCTTGATTGTTGCAGCCTTATATGCAGCCTTGAATTTCCAACCTAAATCAGTGGCATTTCCCTTAAATTTGGGGACCATATTACGACGCAAGTGCTCAACACAATAGCCATGCCTAGCATGAGGGAAGATCCGTTTAGCGGCACTAATTATACCTTTATGCCTGTCAGATATAATGTACATATCCTTACGAAATGGTAGAGATTCAGACAATTTAGAAAAAAACCAAAGCCAAGACTTTTTAGACTCAGTATCACAAATTGCAAAGGCCAATGGAACAATTTGGTTGTTGGCATCTTGGGCACAAGCGGTGAGAAGTGTTCCTTTGTAGTACGCCTTCAAAAAGGATCCATCTACAATTAGAATAGGTCTGCAAAAATTCCATGCCTCCATCCAAGGTGCAAAAGACATAAAAAAATACTGGAAGACATCATCATCATCTGTAACAACAGAAAAAACAGAATGTGGATTTGCTTTGTCAAGCATATAGGCCATTGAGGGTAAAAGTTGATATGACTCGGCATCTGATCCAAATTGTTTTTGCATTGCAATCTTTTGAGCTTTCCAAGACTTCTTGTACGACATGGAGATGCCATGCATGAGACTCATGTCAGCACGTATCTCATTTGGTACATACGGCTTTCTAGAAGCATCCAAGAATTTATGAGAAACAAGTTCTGCAACAGTTCGGTATGTAGCCTGCCGATGCTGTCCTTGCCTAAAATCCACTGAGCATGTGTGGAATGAGTCAAACCTGTGACATGAAAAAGCAGAATGAATAAAATGCCAAGATTTGGAATAACATCCAATAATGTGGCATAAAATAAGGTCAGAGATTTATACAAGTAACATAACAAAGGATAGAACAATACCTTCTAATTTGAAACATGAGGACCCCACGGAGCTTAACAGCCCTCACACTCCATTTACATTTTTCGTGAAAACAAACAACGTGCAACTCTATTTTTCTCGATGTGCGCGTTTTGTATTGAAAACCATTATCTATGGCATACAACATTAAATGATGTTTGAGGTCTGCCTTAGACTTGTAAATACCATCGAGAATTATCTGAGTAGGATGATAATGAGTGATGACTTCCAAATTGTGATGAATAGAATATATCTCAGAACAAGATGAATGAGAAGGAGGTGAGTAAGGAGGTGAGATAGAAGGGCTAGAACATCCTGGTTCATTGACAATGGCAACATGATTGGATGGTGAGTGGTTAAATGTTGGTGCACAATTCTGTATATGATCATTAAAAGTGGAAGAATGGCCCTCTTTAGAATTATTCGTATGATAAGAATGGTGATAATCAGAACAACCTTCATTTGATGGAGAAGGAATAGCAAACATGGCGGTGCGTGATAGAAAATCAGTGAGTGAATGAGGAAAATCACTTGAAAATTCCACACACAAAGGCAGTTTATGAAAATCAGATTGGAGAAGTTTAAGGTGAAGAAATAAACGAAAGCTATCCTCATCATGTAAAGAAACAGGTGGAGGGCATTGATGAACCATATAAGACAATTTGAAGTGGCTATGTGATTTGTATGTAGTTAAAATCGAAGAAAGTTGAGACATAAAGTCATCGAATGTGGCAGAGTATGGAATGTGGATACCAAATTTGTCTTTACAAATAAAAGTGTAATCACTGTCCCAGCTACCATCCAAGCTCAGCATTATCAAAACAACAGAATCCATATGGATAACTACAGAAAAAGAATAAAAATAATTAAATTTGAAACATATTTATGCAACATTCCAATAACACTAGTACACTTCATATTATGCGAAATAGCACATATATATGGCATAAAAACGATAAACAGAATAACTAAAGGAAAAAAGTGGCAATTCAGAAACATAACATCAGCCAAATTTTGGAAGAACAGTTGTTTATAGACAAAATGAAACTCTAGTCAACCAGTGAATTTTCATCAACAAATAACGAATAGTGATCTTAGAGAAGAGCAGAAAATGAAAATAAATAACAACAACAATGTTATAAAAATGTATGAACATGAATTGACGACAAATTCTTTGAAATCAACTACTTCGTCAAATCAGTGAATTTTAATCAACAAATAACGAAGAGTGATCTTAGAGAAGAGCAGAACATGAATAACAACAGCAATATTATACATATGTATGAACATCAATTGACGACAAATTCTTTGAAATCAACTACATCTTCAAAATTGATAAAAACGAAAGTGTTAGAAGTGATTGTGTTGAATAAAAGCGATAGCAGCTGGAGACGATTACCAGATTGATCGTACGCCATTAAGCAAAGCAAAAATACTAGGCAGTGAAGTTCGAAGAAGAGAAGAAAATTTCTGGTTAACGTGAAATTGGGTAGAATGAAAATATGGAAGGAAGGAAAGGCGGCGGAAGAGAGAAAACGGTTAAATGATCTGGCGTAATCTGAAGTAATAATATGACGTAATCAAAGCAGGGTCAAATTTGGAAGGCAATTTTCGTATGTTTTTGAATAGGAGTAAGAAACTCCTATTAAGGGAAATAAAACATTAGTACTCCTATTTAAGAATTTCCATAAACTTTTACTCCTCTTTTAGGCAATTTCTCATGATTTTTAAGTAAGTGAAATTTTTTGGTTTAATTTTCTAATTATGCCCCAAAAAGTAGATAAAGTATAGTGTGATAGAGAAAGTTGGTGTAAAGTAGGTAATAAAATAAGTATGTAAGGGTAATTTTATATTAAAAAATTGTCAAAAATAGAAGTGTGAATTTATTTTGAACTTACCCAAAAACGAAAATGTGAAGTTGTTTTGGAACGGGAGGAAGTACTAGTGTTAGATTTTCAATGTCTCAGATTTTACCATTACTTCGGTGAATAAC